TCTGTTGTGACTGGCACCTCGCGCCAATCTTCCCGGTCATCAGCGATTTTGGCAGATATGCATAAGCCATCCGGGCGCAGTGGAATGCATGGCGCTACCGCACGACCATCGTGAACGTATAGATCTACCCGTGGCGTGTCGAGCGATATGGACGTCTGCTTCATCGTGGATTGCCCTAGCATCTGGTAAAATACCGAGGGATACTGCATTTCTAGATCAAGGAACCAGGGCCGTGTCGTCATTCGTATCGCTGTTTGGGCTGTTTTTCACGCATCGCGCCGAGGGCTGGCAAGCACTGGAATACCGTGAGACGATATGGCAGCCTCGACTTCGTGCACAAGCTCAAGGTGGGAAGCCTTGCTCTCAGGGCAATGTGATCTTGCGCTAGAACGTCTCCCCTCCTGAGCCCACACCCTTTTTGACGCATGGACGTAGCATCCGGATCGACAGCCCTTCCCCTCCCACCTCCAATCCTCCATCCTCTTGTCCATCATCCGGTCCTGATCCCGCCATTCATCCTTCAGCGACGACCTTGGACGGCCAGGTCAGGGGGGAAAGCTACGCGGAGGGCCGCCAGTACGCTTGGGCTGACAGCTCGGCCGGCCCCCACGATCGAACCCCAGAGTTGAGCGCGGTTGACTGGTTCAGGTGTGACACCCTTTACCTCCTTCACCCTCCTTCTCATCCTTCTCATTATTGATTTTTTTTTTTTTCTCTCTCTCTCTCTCTCTCTATCTCTCCACTTTCCCCTGCCAGTGCTGGAGTGCTGGCTGCGGGATGCTTGCTCCAACTCTCGTTTCTCGGAGGCTCCGGGCCCCCAAAGGTCCGACCGTCTGGGGTCACTGCCAGCTCTCTCCAGAGACGCACTGCTCCTGGGGGGGGCGGGTGGCTCCGCTGTCGGAAGCCTCTGCGTGTGAGCGTCTTCACCCAGCTGTTGCTCGCTCTGCCGACTTCTTCCCGGGGAGGGGGCCGCGGGGGGACCTCCCGGGAGGCGCTGGGGCCGCTCCGACCCGACTGCGTTTCGGGCTGTGCATGCACGCCTTGGAAATGTAAATGGGGCCCAGGGACACACAAAGAAGTAGACACAAATCCCAGGATTCCCCACATGTTCCAATATTTTCTGGGTTTTCGTCTTCGCCCCCACTTCCCATATTTTCCTGGGAGTCGACGATTAAATGTGTGTCTGTGTTTTTCCCCACATCCAAAGTGGGGTTCTTGTTCCCCACATCCAAAATGGGGTTCTTGTTTTCTCTGGACACCCCGCGCAGGAACAGGAACACACACACACACACCCACTCACACTCACTCACACTCTCTCATCATCAACCTCATCAGCATCATCGATGATGCTCTCTCACATGCTTAGTCACTCACATACTCATCTTCACTCGCACTCTCTCACACGCTCACGAACCTCATCATCAATCATCATCGGCATCGGCATCGTCCTCATTCAAACATCATCATCGCCACCACCACTCACAATCAATCATCATCCTCTTCACCACTCATCTTCACCACCACTCATCATCCTCATCCTCATCATCGTTGAGTAAATTGTGAGGAAGTCTCAGGCGGGAGCCCCCTCCCTATGGGGCCCGCAGATCATGTTGGTAATCCGAGCGGGTCATCGGAAACCTGTAACTGTCGTCACTTTTGGGCTGCCTGAAAATGGAGGAAGTCTCAGGCGGGAGCCTCGTCTGTGAGTGAATTGGGAGGAAGTCTCAGGCGGGAGCTCCCTCCCTATGGGGCCCGCAGATCATGTTGGTAATCCGAGCGGGTCATCGGAACCCTGTAACTGTCGTCACTTTTGGGCTCCTCAAGCCTGAAAATGGAGGAAGTCTCAGGCGGGAGCCTCGTCTGTGAGTGAATTGGGAGGAAGTCTCAGGCGGGAGCCCCCTCCCTATGGGGCCCGCAGATCATGTTGGTAATCCGAGCGGGTCATCGGAAACCTGTAACTGTCGTCACTTTTGGGCTCGTCAAGCCTGAATTTGGAGGAAGTCTCAGGCGGGAGCCTCGTCTGTGAGTGAATTGTGAGGAAGTCTCAGGCGGGAGCCCCCTCCCTATGGGGCCCGCAGATCATGTTGGTAATCCGAGCGGGTCATCGGAATCCTGTAACTGTCGTCAATTTTGGGCTCCTCAAGCCTGAATTTGGAGGAAGTCCCAGGCGGGAGCCTCGTCTGTGAGTGAACTGCGAGGAAGTCTCAGGCGGGAGCCCCCTCCCTATGGGGCCCGCAGATCATGTTGGTAATCCGAGCGGGTCATCCAAAACCTGTAAGTGTCGTCAATTTTGGGTTCTCGCGCTGCCAGAACGCAGCTCCCAGGCCACATTTTGGACGCAACAAGAAGTTTTTGGGCTCCTCAGGCCTGAATTTGGAGGAAGTCTCAGGCGGGAGCCTCGTCTCTGAGTGAATTGCGAGGAGCCAACTGTAGGCCACTTCGTGTTCGTCGTGTTCCCAGAACGCTATTCCCGGCACGCATCCACTGGGACGCACCCCTG